TAAATGGAAATTACTCTGCAATACCAGCACCGGCCAGTAGGGGTCACTGTGTGTGGAGAGAGGCAGGGATAGGAAGTTACAGAATATCCCTCCCTGCCTCTCTCTACTACTCACTGATCCGCGGGGGAGCAGCTACACAGCACAGAGGGTCCAGACAGCAGCTCTACAGCTCAGGTAAGTGAGGGATGAGGGGAAAGGCAGCAGGGACACATGGAGACACAGACACTAGGGGACACATGGGGATACTGAGACACTAGGGGACACATGATGACACATACACTAGGGGACACTGAGACACTAGGACACAGACACTGGGAGATCTGGGAACACAGACACTTGGGGACACTGGAAAACATGGTGACACTGAGACACTAGGGGACACTGGAAAACATGGGGACACTGAGACACTAGGGGACACTGAGACACTAGGGGACACTGAGACACTAGGGGACACAGACACTTGGGGACATATGGGGCACTAAGACACTAGGGGGCACTAAGACACTAGGGGGCACTAAGACACTAGGACACATGGGGACACAGACACTTGGGGACACTGGAAAACATGGGGACACTGGGACACATGAGGATGCTGAGACACATGGGGACATTGGGAGACACTATGTTCCCATGTCCCCCAGCCAGTGTGCCTAGTGTCTGTGTCCCCAAGTCTCCCAGTGTCTGTGTCCCATGTCTCTCAGTGTGCCTAGTGTCCCCATGTCTCCCCAAGTGTCTGTCTCCGAGCCAGTGTCCCCTAGTCTCCCAGTGTCTTTGTCCCTAGTGTCTTAGTGTCCCCAAATGTTTCAGTGTCTCCATGTCTCCAAGTGTCTGTGTTCCTAGTGTCTCAGTGTGCCTGGTGTCCCCATGTCTCCCAGTGTCCACATGTCTGTCCACAACTGTCCCCATGTCTCCCAGTGTCCACATGTCTATGTCCACAACTGTCCCCATGTCTCCCAGTGTCCCTTAGTCTCCCAGTATCTGTGTTCCCATGTCTGTGTCCCTAGTGTCTTGGTGTCCCCAAATGTTTGTGTCCCCATGTCTCCCAGTGTCTGTGTCCCTAGTGTCCCAGTGTCCCCATTTCTCCCAGTGTCCCCATGTCTTTGTGTCCCCATGTCTCTCAGTGTCCCCAGTATCTTAGTGACATGGGGACACACTGAGACATTGGGACACTGGGAGAAATGGGGAAACAGACACTGGGAGACTAGGGGACTGGACGACATGGGGACACTGACACAGTGATACATAGGGACACTGATACACTGGGTGACTTGCGAGACTGAGACACTGGGAGACAGGGAGACACTGGGAGCAATTCATCTATACGGCAGAATCAAACAGTGAGTAGTTTGTTGGTGATTTTACAGAATTTTCTCTGATGTCACTCCTTGTGATTTACATCATGTGATGTCACGCATAACTAATTATACAAATGATTAAGGCTGGAATTTTTTTCCAAGAAAGTGGCAACCTTAATTACTCTTCACATACTCTTGCTTAACCCCTTAAGGACACATGACATGTGTGACATGTCATGATTCCCTTTTATTCCAGAAATTTGGTCCTTAAGGGGTTAAAGGAGCACTATAAGGTCAGGAACACAATCATGTATTTCTGACCCTATTATGTTAAAACCACCACCCTGGCCCCTTCTTGCCTCCCTAAATATAGTAAAATATTACTTGTATTCAATTCTGCAGCTGCTGGCTCAGAAGTGGTGGTCTGAGCAAATTAGAATATTTCCCCATAGGATTGGCTGAGACTGTCAACTAGGCAGATCAGGGGCAGAGCCAGCACAAGTCCAACATAGCCCTGGCCAATCAGCATCTCCTCATAAAGATAAATTGAATCAATGCATCTCTATGAGGAAAGTTCAGTGTCTGCATGCAGAGGGTGGAGACACTGAATGGCAGTGCTGCACACTAGGCAGTACTGCCCCAGGAAGCACCTCTAGCAGCCATCTAAGGAGCGGCCAGTGGAGTTATTTTCTCTGAAAAGACAGTGTTTACTGCAAAAAGCCTGAATGGAATGATTCTACTTACCAGAACAAAAACAATAAGCTGTAGTTGTTCTGGTGACTATAGTGTCCCTTTAAGTTTGGAAGCTTAAAAGGGATGTATGGGAACAAAACTTGTGTGCACTGGCTGACATTAAAATTAGTTTAGGTAATGCAGACGTTGGTCTCTCTAACACTGTGGCATGTTCCCTTTCTTCTACACTCACTACAGACACCTTTTCTCTGTCTCAGACTATATGCCAGGAACTTTTCTGCCTGCTAGTAAGAAGGTAAGGAGACAAGTGGCCCAGCGAGTGCGAGGGGACAGTCCTAAGAAAGAATGGAGTGAGCACATCATTAGATGCATTTATGTCAAGCTCAAGGTGCTGCCTGCATAGTATGCCCTTAGTTGGACAGCCTGCAGGATTGGCAGGCAGCCTGACATGCATTCATGCCAGACTGACCTTCCAATTCTTTGGACAAACATGCCCCCTTTTTGGGCATGTTCACCCCTTTTGGCAGGTCTCGTCACATGATTCACGCCAGTGGCACACCCTTTTACCCAGCCCATTGACTTCCTGCTTCACTGTTAGGGGTTATGGATTTACTTGAAAGATGAAAGCATAAATTAGAGAGAGATTAGCATAGAGTATGTGTTTTCTTATAGCTGCAACCTTTGAGTTTCCCTCCAACACCATTTCCATCAGATACATGACGCTTGGGAGGTATGATTGTTTTAGTGTTTTTGGTCGATAAGATTCCGTAATTAGGCCCATCATAATTGTCAGCACCAGGCCCACGGTGCTCTTAATCCGGCCCTGCTTCACACGTACCTCTAAATCCTAAAAAGTTCCAGTTTTGTTTCATTGATCCGCTGCTCAGAATCTCAAAATGTTTGTGCTTTTGGGTCAGTAGTAATGTTTGTTTTGGAGTTTTGGCAATGACACCTTCTGCATTTAGTATGTGCCTTACTGTGCTAACCGAAACCTCCGTGCCAAGTCTTGCTGCAGGTCTTTTGCAGTCACATAAGGTTTTTCACAACCTGCCTTCACAGAAATCTGGTTGCAGCCATTGATAGCTTCCTTTTCCTGCCCCGTCCAGATACTGTAACCACTGTTCTTCAACCTTGAAATTGTGAACTATGCTTCCAACTGAGTGTCTAGGAACATTGAGTGCCTTTGTTATCTTTTTGTATCCCGTGTCTTGATTGTGAAGGGCGATGATCTCTTCTCTTTGTGACCCTTCTTTTGGCAAAGCCATATTTCTTTATATTTATATTCATTATTGTATTTCTGGAATGAAATTAAACATTTTTACATTACATTGCTTTAGAATAAGTGAAAATACATTTTACATTTCCATTGTTTTAAGACAAATACAATAAGTGACAAACATAAATAGTGCGAGATATGTGCACTACATTGCATTCAATAGTATATTATAAGGTACTGTATCACGCATGGGGTAGGTCAGCTTCAGTTCCGTCATGAGATTTTTATTTTATTTTAATTGGGAGAATTCTAACTTAAGTGACTGATTAACCAACTTACACAATTTAGTTTAAGTTACGAAAATAAAACAGTCGGTCAGTTTTTCTATGCCGAGACAGTCATTACGGTTGTTATAATTTAGCTCATTCTTGTTTAATTAGATTATATAGGGAGATGTCAGCTATTCTATAAAGACCCTTTTACATTTGGATCTGATAATTGATTTGATTAATAGTTTCCAGCCATAAGGTAGTTACTGGTGCTTTCCAGTTTCTCGCGATTACTAATTTTGCAGCCATACAAATATGAATAAATAATATTTTTTGATGGAGGCTACATCTCGGTAATTCCACGTGGAAAAGGAACAGACCGGGGATAGCGTTACATCTTGATCAAGAATCTTCAAAAAAGCATTATAGATCGCATTCTTAATCTCTTCTAATCCTTTACATTCCCACCACATACAGTTGCAAGAAAAAGTATGTGGACCCTTTGGAATGATATGGATTTCTGCACAAATTGGTCATAAAATGTGATCTGATCATCTTCTAAGTCACAACAATAGACAATCACAGTCTGCTTAAACTAATAACACACAAAGAATGAAATGTTGCCATGTTTTTATTGAACACACCATGTAAACATTCACAGTGCAGGTGGAAAAAGTATGTGAACCCCTAGACTAATAACATCTCCAAGAGCTAATTGGAGTGAGATGTCAGCCAACTGGAGTCCAATCAATGAGATGAGATTGGAGGTGTTGGTTACAGCTGCCCTGCCCTATAAAAAACACACACCAGTTCTGGGTTTGCTTTTCACATGAAGCATTGCCTGATGTGAATGATGCCTCGCACAAAAGAGCTCTCAGAAGACCTACGATTAAGAATTGTTGACTTGCATAAAGCTGGAAAGGGTTATAAAAGTATCTCCAAAAGCCTTGCTGTCCATCAGTCCACGGTAAGACAAATTGTCTATAAATGGAGAATGTTCAGCACTGCTGCTACTCTCCATAGGAGTGGCCATCCTGTAAAGATGACTGCAAGAGCACAGCGCAGACTGCTCAATGAGGTGAGGAAGAATCCTAGAGTGTCAGCTAAAGACTTACAAAAGTCACTGGCAAATGCTAACATCCCTGTTAGCGAATCTACAATATGTAAAACACTAAACAAGAATGCATTTCATGGGAGGATACCACAGAGGAAGCCACTGCTGTCCAAACAAAACATTGCTGCACGTTTACAGTTTGCACAAGAGCACCTGGATGTTCCACAGCAGTACTGGCAAAATATTCTGTGGACAGATGAAACCAAAGTTGAGTTGTTTGGAGGAAACACACAACACTATGTGTGGCGAAAAAAAGGCACAGCACACCAACATGAAAACCTCATCCCAACTGTGAAGTATGGTAGTGGGGGCATCATGGTTTGGGGCTGCTTTGCTGTGTCAGGGCCTGGACGGATTGCTATCATTGAAGGAAGAATTAATTCCCAAGTTTATCAAGACATTTTGCAGGAGAACTTAAGGCCATTTGTCTACCAGCTGAAGCTCAACAGAAGATGGGTGTTGCAACAGGACAATGACCCAAAGCATAGAAGTAAATCAACAGAATGGCTTAAACAGAAGAAAATACGCCTTCTGAAGTGGCCCAGTCAGAGTCCTGACCTCAACCCGATTGAGATGCTGTGGCATTACCTCAAGAAAGCGATTCACACCAGACATCCCAAGAATATTGCTGAACTGAAACAGTTCTGTAAAGAGGAATGGTCAAGAATTACTCCTGACCGTTGTGCACGTCTGATCTGCAACTACAGGAAACGTTTGGTTGAAGTTATTGCTGCCAAAGGAGGTTCAACCAGTTATTAAATCCAAGGGTTCACATACTTTTTCCACCTGCACTGTGAATGTTTACATGGTGTGTTCAATAAAAACATGGCAACATTTCATTCTTTGTGTGTTATTAGTTTAAGCAGACTGTGATTGTCTATTGTTGTGACTTAGATGATGATCAGATCACATTTTATGACCAATTTGTGCAGAAATCCATATCATTCCAAAGGGTTCACATACTTTTTCTTGCAACTGTATAATAGATTGTACCATTACACCTAAAACATCTCCAGCATAAAGTTGGACATTTCTTATCAAATGTATGGATCTTATTTGGGGTAAGGTACCATCTATGAATGATTTTAAAATAGTTTTCTTGCTAGATTAAAAAAAAATATATTCAAGAAAAGACTTCTTATAAAGTAAATAAAAATATCTTATACATCAGACAAAGACAAAAGGTATCATAATAACAAAATTAATAAAGATCTTTCCAATAAAATTAAGAATGAACATAAAGAAAAATCTATATAAAAAAAAAAAAATAATGATATGGGATAAACAATTGGCTTCTCCAAAGGATATCTCCCAAGCATTTGTAGACTACTATAGATCACTATATAATTTAAAAGATGTTGAGAAAAGTACCTATCCTTTTCAGAGTGTTTTCTGAAGCTTCGGTCGAGAATCCCCTACCGAACGGCATTGATTATCCCTATTCCAAAATCGGATAAAGACCTATCTTATATTACTAATTATAGACCAGTCTTTTATTAATTTGGATATAAAAAAAAAATCTCACATTTTGTCAAATCGCTTAAAGGGAGTTATCATGGACTTCATTAACATTGATCAGTCAGGCTTCGTCAAGGGGAGAGGCATTACAGATTATATCCATAGAATTCTTAATGTAATATATAGGATTAACATTAAATGGGTTCCGTTATTATGGCCCTTGATGTCAAGAAGGCCTTTGACAGAGTCAATTAGAGATTACTTGATTCTGTCATGGAAGTTTTGGCATCGAGGGCCAGCTTAAGGATAAAACTATGTTACTATATAATAAATTCTTCAGCAAAAATAACAAATCATCTTTTTGAATCAACTCCTTTTTCGGTAGAAAACTGCACTAGACAGGGATACCCCTTGAAACCGCTTCTATATATTTTAACTACCTATATAGGCTATTATGATTAGGGAAAATGTAAATATTAAGGGTATTATTTCATATAATGGAGAGATAAAGATATCTTTGTTTGCAGACAACGTGCTTCTCTCGATGAACTCTTTAAGTTCAATTCCAGCAGTACTAAATACCGTAGACAGCTATAGTAACTATTCAAATTATAACATTAAAAAAAAATAAAAAATAAAAATTGACATTTTTTAACAAAATTTCAGGAAGAGCTTCTTAGCTCTAGTTTCCATTTTGCTCAGAAGGAATCTACAATTAATTATTTGGGTATTGAGATTTCATTTGATATAAATGAATCAATTAAATCTAATTACCAAGCTTTATAAAAAAATAAAAATAATCAAATTCAGTTAAAGGATCACTATAGGGTCAGGAACACAAACATGTATTCCTGACCCTATAGTGTTAAAACCACCATCTAGCCCCCCTGGACCCCTCCTGCCTCCATAAATATAGCAAAATCTTACTGTATTCGGGGGGGCGGAGCTAGCCACGGACCAGCACGGACGCATCGTGCAAAGCTCCGTGCAAGCACAGGCAAATTAACCGATCTACCGGCGGAGATTGGGCATCTATTTACCCCACACCTTACCCACTGGCGGGAGAAGCAAAAATGGGCAAGTAAAACAAAAAACTAAGGCCAGACAAGCCCCCTTTCAGCCACAATATCGGCAAACTCCTGAGGAACTCGCAGAAGGCCGCATGGGAGAAAATGGCGCTGGGGGAAGCAGAGTACTCTGACTCCTCAGAAGATTTTTATCCAGACCTGGGGGGAGGTGAAACGGCAACCCAATCCAAGGGGCACACGACCAAAACACCCCCAGCAGGAGAACTGGCCACTGCAGCCCTCCTAACAAAAATGTTTGGAGACCTCAGACAAGACCTAGCTGCCGACAGAGCAGCCTTCAAAGAGGCCATGGAAAGGGCTAACACGCGGCTTACATCCCTGGAGACCAACGCCACTGCCCACGGCAGCCGACTCACCACTCTGGAACGGAGAATGTCAGAACTCCACAAACTACAACAAGACACAGCAGACAAAGTGGAGGCCTTAGAAGACCACAGGCGGAGAAATAACTTAAAAATCAGAGGGATACCTGATACCATTGGGAATGCCGACATCCCACATTACGTGTGGCGCCTCTTGGCAACGTTGCTGCAACCCAAACAAGCTAAACAGTTGAAACTAGACGGAATGTTCCGCCCACCCAAGCCAGCAAAAGCACCCTCCAATGCCTCAGCTGACCTCATCGTGAAGTTCCAAACGCACCAAGATAAAGACACTGTCCTGGCAACTTGCAGGGGGAAAACCCCACTACTGTTTGAAGATTCTCATCTACAGATATTCCCAGATCTAACTAAAAGCACACTCAGCTGGCGTAAGGGGCTACAACCGAGCCTGCAACACCTAAGAACACAGGACATCCAGTACCGCTGGGGTACACCGAGGCTCGTGACATTCACCTTTCAAGGGTCCGCATACCGGGCAAGAAACCTACAGGAGCTGGACTCTCACCTGACACAATTGGGCCTGAAAACACCGCAAGCCGAATCCACGACCGCTCTGACCATGCTGGACCCCACCACAGTAAGGGAGTTTGTGCCCAGATCATCCCGGCACGCCAACCCAGCAGGCGGCACAACGTGAGGGAGAAACACAGGCAGGAAGAAACTTCGACCTATAGGATGCCACAGACCCCGCCGACACACTCAGTGACTATGTATATTATGCCTAAACTTGTCATTTGTTTGAAAGACATTATGCCAGCGTTTAAATTTTAGCTCTCACATTTTTTTATTTATTTTTAATATATTTTTGTGCGCTTGCTTGTCTGTTGTCCGATATGGGGTGACCACCTGGCCTCAACCATACCAGGAAGTACCACAGTAACACTCCATTCACGAACTCCCTTTCCCACATTAAAATCAGATGTAGAAGGGCACATGCAGAACGATACCCTGAGTTAGAAACGTCCAACGAAAATACTGGTGCAGGCACCCCCTGCCCCCCCAGATTGTAAAGTTAAGCTACTCCGGTGAATCCATAGAGGGGCCACCCCTGATCCCCAGAACGCCTCAACTCATAGACCCTCTTTTAAGTAAATCACATACAGGTTTCAAGGGGTCATACTGATGTTTTAACACTTTGTTGACTTACATGCTCCTGTCTTAAAAAAACAAAAACCCACTCAGCGGGACACTATCTCAGCCAGTGAAAATGCTTTTGTTATTACATGTGACCGTTATGGGCAACAGCCCACATATTGTATAGTTCTTTTCTTTATTGCCTGCTGAGTGAACAAAATAAAGAATTAAAAAAATAAAAATATCTTACTGTATTCAAGCCTGAAGCTGTAACTCTGCATGCTGTTAGACTCAGAAAAACAAGCAGTCTGCTGACATCATCAGAAGTGGTGGCCTGATCCAATCACAATGCTTCTCCATAGGATTGGCTGAGACTGACAAGGAGGCAGATCAGGGGCAGTGCCAGCATGATTCAAACACAGCCCTGGCCAATCAGCATCTCCTCATGCTTCCCCTGCTTATATACTTTTTCCCAGGATGGAACATACATTCCATAGAGGTTGGTCACCTAAACGGACCCAGAAGCCATCCACACCGGAGCTAAGTCTTATAGCTCCTTGTTTGTGTTTGATTTATAAATCTTATTTCGAACACATTTTATTTATTGATAAGCTGCACTATGTGGTATTATTTGTATTTCTAGGTCCGTGAAATAATAACTATTAATAAGTGCTTCTAAGTGCTGTTTCTAAGTGTCTAGTTGGAGATATTCTGGAGAGTTTTACAGAAGCTTCAACTGTCTAAGAGTTGTGCTAAGAGCTTTCTTTTCTACTGTTACAGGTAAGATTCATCTGTAGGAAAAGGTTACTGATTGCACAAGGTTTGAATTCCTGTTGGTAATTATAAGGCATTTGATTAAGCTAGTTACTTGCTGTTGATTGCTGGTTAATTAGCTATTGTTTGCAAATAAGCAGAGGCCTACCCAGGTGTTAAACATTCCTAGTGGGCGGTGATTTAAGGAGTTATATAAGGCTTGGTCTCATTAGCTTGTCTAATATAGCTTGGTGCTACTTCCAAGTGCTGTTTCTAAGTGTGTAGTTGGAGATATTCTGGAGAGTGCTGTTTCCAAGTGTGTAGTTGGAGATATTCTGGAGGTAATCTGAGGTATTCAGGAGGATAAATACAAAGTTAAGATTTGTTTGATTTAAATTATTCTCCTCATTGGAATGGCAGACTTAGTTCAGTGTAATAGTTGCTATGCATTTGTTTCACGTTCCACTTTTTGGAGGTTTGGTTGTTGTCTAATCTGTAGACAGTTCTCTATCTTGCAGCAGGAGATTGTATTTTTGAAGTCTGAGATTTGTAAATTATCTGGTGAACAAACTCAGACTGGAACTGCCGCAAAGTCACTGCCGCAGAGAGATACTAGGAATGGCAGATGGATTACTGTAGGATCTGGTAGACTTAGAGTTGTGGATAAAAGGCATTTTGCACAGTCTGTTGCTCTTCATAATTCATTTTCTGCACTTTCAGAGTGTAATGGTGTTGTGGAGCGAGGCACTGAGGCTAGTGGTGTTGTGGAGAGAGGCACTGAGGCTAGTGGTGTTGTGGAGAGAGGCACTGAGGCTAGTGGTGTTGTGGAGAGAGGCACTGAGGCTAGCGGTGTTGTGGAGAGAGGCACCAAGACTAGTGGTGTTGTGGAGAGAGGCACTGAGGCTAGTGGTGTTGTGGAGAGAGGCACTGAGGCTAGTGGTGTTGTGGAGA